GCCTCATCTTTCTCCCGCAGAACAGCTGGTAGTTTCGAACCGCTGACCTTAAGGTTCGCAGCCCGATTCGTAACCACTACGCTACCAGAGCTCCTTAGAGCCTGTGAAATGAAATTTACTTGCCTGATTTCACATATGTGAAACCAACCTCAGAGAGATGGAGCCCAACTCCTTTGTTCTGATTTCAGACCCTGAAACGGTCTAATGTTGTATGAAGAGTCAAGTCACACTTGGTGAAAAGTGGCCCTTTCCTAGGTATTATTACTAGCAACCACCAATCTAGTCTCAATTTCTCCATACAGCCATAGTTGGAATACCCACTGAGGGCAATTCATCCAAAATTAAACAAGTTGTGTCTTCCACTGATTGGCCTCACATCACTGATTTCTCCAATATGGATGAAGTGCTCCTTCCATACTTTCTAGCTCAGACCATCTGAAAACGTGTGTTATGTGCCCCAAGGCAAGTGGCTCCTATGCCTATTTAGCAAACATACATCTCTCTATTGGGGTCAGGGGTCAGGGGACAGACTTCAGAAGCAGCAGGGTCTCTATTAAAATCCCAGTCCCTGTCTTCATCAAGCACTACATCAGACTGAATCCCCACCACATTTAAATATGGGGGCAGTACCCTCCACCTACCTGGAGGTGTAGTGGGTTACTTGTTGGACTATTAATTGCAAGATGAGCAGTTTGAATCTACCAGTGACTCAGAGGGAGAACAATGAGGCTTTCTGCTCCCATTCTGAGATTTACAGCCTCAGAAACCCTATTCAGGGTCCTGGTGTGGCACTGTGGGTTAAGTGCTAGGCTGCTAACTGCAAGGTCAGTGATTGAAGCCCACCAGTCACTCCTTGGAAGCCCTATACAGTGTTGCTACGAGTTGGAAACAACTGGACAGCACTTAACAAGAAGAATGCCAATCCTATGAGGTGGAAGGTGTTGCTGTGTGCCCGTCAAGTCTGTTGCTTATCCTACAGTGCCACAGCAGGAACCCAGCATTGTGGTTGTTGTTGTTAAGTGGCATCAAGTAGGTTCCAACGCATAGCGACCCTGCGTAGTGTTTCCAAGGAACAGCGGGTGAGCTTGATTGTTATTACTATTGGCTATTAGGATGAAATAAAAATGAAAACAACAAGCCCACTGCCATCAAGTCCATTCCAACTCTTAGTGATCCTACAGGACAAAGTAGAACTGCTCCATAGGGTTTTGAGACTGTAACTCTTGAGACGTAGAATGCTCATCTCTCTTCTGCTGAGCGACTGGTGGGTTTGAACCTCTGACCTCTCAGCAGCCCTGCACTTAACCCCCTGTGCCACCACAGCTCTTTCCCTGTAATGAGAGCACAATAAATGGTTGGAATTTTTACTTCATTCTGTGTTTCAACTTCCTATCTTATGAGTTAAATTTGTTGCGATTAAGTACCGTCGAGTCAGTTCAGACTCATAGGGACCCTGTATAGGGTTTCCAAGGAGCAGCTGGTGAGCTTGAGCCGCCGACCTTGTGGTTGAAACGGACCTTGTGGTCCAGTGTTTTATCTCACAGCGCCACACCAAGACTCCAGGAGTCAAATAACACCTAACATAAACATTGAGTTGCAATGACGGTTGGTATTTTAAAGACAGTTTTAAAACAATTTAGGAAAAAAACATTAACCCTCATGAATAAGAAGTCTCACTGAGTGGGGGTGAGGGGAGCGAATAAGGGGCATTAACAGCCCTACAAAGCTTTGAGACTCTTAATGTAAGCTGTACCCCTTATGACTGAGTCTGAATTCTCTCTATATCTATACACTGGATCTGGAGTCCTGGTGTTATGCTCTAAGGTAAGCACTGGACTGCAAGGTTGATTTGAGTCTCAAGGTCAACAGCTCAAATTCAGTAGCTGCTTCAAGGAAACCCTATAAGGGTCACTGAGTCGGAACTGACCGGCCTGCACTTAGCAACAACAACATACACTGATACGGGGGTTAATCGCTAGGCTGCTAACTGAAAGGGCGGTACTTCAATCCCATCAGCCATTCCAGAGGAAAAAGATTTACAGCCTTGGAAACCCTATGGGGCTGTCCTATAGGGTCACTATGAATCTGAACGATTCAACGGTGGCTGTTTTATACATTATCAATGAATAAAGTGGTAAGGCACTGGTTGTTGTTAAGTGCCATTGAGTCGGTTCTGACTCCAGCTACCCTTTATAAGGTTTCCAAGGAGTGCCTGGCAGGTTTGAACCGCCGACCTTTTGGTTAGCAGTCCAGTGGTTATCTTACAGCACCCCACCAGGACTCCATTTGTTGTTGTTAAAATGTCATCAAGACGATTCCGACTCACAGCCACCCTGTATAGGGGTTTATAGGCTTTAAATCTTTGCCAGGAACAAAAAACCTCATCTTTCTCCTGTGGAGCAACTAATGGGTTCAAACCGCTGACCTCGTGGTTCTCAGTACAGTGTTTATCCGATAGAGCCACCGAACTCCCCAGGTGGTGGTGGGTGTATGTCATTGAGTTGGTTCCAGTTTAGGGACTGCGGTTGCCTGGGGAAGGTAACCATGCCGATCTAATGGAGTTCCCTGCCCCCACCGTTGCCTTTTTACAGGTAAACTCAAGTCACACATTTTGTTTTTGATTTGTCCTGTTTCTTTCATGAACAGGATTGAAAAAATCCTCAAAGAGAAAATCATGGAGTGGAGGCCACGCCATCTTACTCGGTGGAACAGATACTGCACTTCCACTCTGCGTCACTTCCTTCCTGTGCTGGAGAGGAGCCAGGGAGACGATGTGGAGGACAGCCACAGGGCAGAGCTGCTCAAACAGCTGGGGGACTATCGGGTGCGTGCCCACGGCTGCTCACCTGGACCCGTGGTTTGCTTCACTGCACTGTGCAAAGTACTTGTCTTGGCCAAGTGCTGGTGGCCAAGAATGACTTCGGACTAGAAATCAGCTGGAGTAGCAAGGCCCGGGGAGAGGGCAGGAATGTGGACAGAGACCTGAAACTGTGTCTTTCCACATTAGGTTTTGGAGTTCTTCCCCCACCTCCAGAAAACAAAACAAAACAAAACAAGTGGGAAGTTTTGGAATCACAGGGTTTGGGAATCAAGATACCTTACATTACTTACATTACTCCTCATAGTCCATTGTTGCTAAGTGTCGTCAAATTGGTTCCAACTCACAGTAACTCTATATAGGGTTTCCAATTAGCAGCTGGTGGGTTTGAACCGCTGACCTTGTGGTTAACAGTCCAGTGCTTATCCTTTACAGTTCCACACCAGGACTCCCAGAGTACATAGTATAGACTGAAAAATAGACTAAAAAATTCCATTCTTGATAATAAGCCTATTAATCAGTGAATAGCAAAATGACTCTCATGAAATTACTACCATTTTTTGAGTGTACAATACCTTTGATGACTATAATGCAAATATTAAAATTAAGTGAAGCTACCTAGCTAAATCCTGTTAGAAGGAACTATAAATTAAGGTGAAATTCAACACTCTGGATTCAATTTTGAAAGGATATAGTTTTATCTAGATAGATTTTCATTGTTAAGAAATATCCTTGTAAACATAAAATGCAGCGTTTTTCGATAGTAACACAGAAAGCAAGTTGAGTCTCAAGACAATAAAGTGCTCCTCACTAACTAAATGGTGTGAGAAAATTAAACAGTTAGGTGTACTGACTCAAATGGACCTTGTAAGTTACCTTTCAGGCCAGGTTTCCAGTTAAAGTGGAGCTGTTGAGTTGGTTCCGAATCATAGTGACCCAGTATAGGATTTCCGGGGAGTGGCTGGTGAGCTTGAACGACAGACCTAGCAGTTCATTGCAGTCCAGCGCATTAACGCACAGCGCCAAAGGAGAACTCCCCTCACAGGCAGAGCATGAGAGAACCGATTGGCTTACTGAAGTACAGCCGTCAGAGAGGAGCTGGATCAGGGCTGCCCATTTCAGCGTCTCCCAACTCCACCCTCCTCCACGAGGGGCCAGTACCAGGACTCACACGGGCACACGCAGGGTCCAGCGCCGGAGCGTGCGAGCATCTATGTGCCGCTACCTTCACAGGTGCCCCCCTCTTGACGGAGACCCACTGTGATCACACGCCCATCCCTGCATCTGAGTGTGGCCTGAGAGTCACGTGGGGCTAACAAGTGTCTCGTACACTTTGTCAACATGCTTTCAAGTAGAACAGAGGCATTTAAATCTTCTCTAAGGAGCCCTGGTGGTACAACGGGTCAAGCGCTGGGCTTCTAACTGGAAAACCAGTGGTTTGAACCCACTAGCAGCTCTGATTCCATCAAGATTCACAGCCTGGGAAACCCTGTAAGGTAGTTCCACTCTGTCCTGTAGTCAGTCGCTGTGACAGAGAATCCACTCACTGACAATGGACTTACACTTTCTCTTCTTTCTGTATTGTTACTATAGACCAGAACCAAAGCCAACCCCCTTCCACCGAGCCGATTCCAACCCACCGTGTCATATGTGAATACAAACATGGCACTAAATCATTGACTGGGGACCGCAAACGCTGACATGGGGAAAGGGCATAGCGGAACCTTCAGATTTCCCCTCTGATGAGAAATGTTCTTTTTTTCCCCCCTCAGTTCTCTGGATTTCCTCTTCACATGCCCTACTCTGAAATGAAGCCTTTAATTGAAGCTGTGTACAGTACCGGAGTCCACAACATTGATGTTCCTAATGTTGAATTTGCTTTAGCAGTATATATCCACCCATACCCCAAAAATGTTCTGTCTGTTTGGATCTATGTTGCCTCTCTTATACGCAACAGGTAATTTTTTCATTGTCCTTTTTGGATCATGTATAAACTATAATCAAGATATGAGAATATTTTTATACTATATTGATTAAACCAGAAGGAAGAAAATGTTATTTGCAAATGATGAAATAAATGTGTATTTTCAAAGTGCAAAAATTAACTGCTTTTTGGTCATTTGCCCAGTCACTTTGACGCTCAGCTCAATGTGTCTAAGCGCTGTTTCTCCTTCTGCCGTCATCGTTGTATAACCTCTGCTGGAGAAGCCCTAGTTCTGCCATTTTACTAGTTGGCTAATCGGCCACGTCATTTAACCTGCTGCTGACTTTCCCCATGCATGTGAAAGGAATGATCACAATGCCCGCTTCAGAGCACCGTCATGAAGACTAGACAAGCCCCTTGGTGTACAGCACTTAGAACACTGCCCAGAAACACTGGTGTGTGTCCAGTACTACAAGGAACTTTATAAAACAGTCACATTTTGTTCTCAGAATGGGCAGTTTAAATAATGCATGAGGACAACCATAAAACCCAAGACCAATTTAAACCAAGTGTGTGGTGTTTCAGTTTTCATGAAATATTAACTATCCCCTATTATGATAGTTAGGAGTCCTGGTGTGATGCTGTGGGCAAATGTGTCAGGCTGCAAAGTCGTTTGAACTGTAAAGTCAGTGGTTCAAGCTCACCAGTTGCTGCTTGGAAATCCTATACAGGGTCGCTATGGGTCGGAATCGACTCGATGGCACTTAACAACATGATAGTTGAAGTCCTGGTGTAGTGCGGTGGGTAAATGCGCTGGACTGCAAAGTCGTTTGAACCTCAAGGTTGACAGTTCAAACTTACCTATCGTTCTTCGGAAACCTTATACAGGGTTACTATGGGTCAGAACAGACTCGACGGCACTTAACAACAGTATGATAGGAGTCCTGCTGCGGTGTTGTGGGCTAATACACTGAACTGCAAAGTCAGTTTGAACCAGAAGGTAGGGGGTTCAAGCTCACCAGCCACTCCTCAGAACCCCTATACAGGGTCGTCATGAGTCGGAAGCAGCTTGCAGGCACTTAACAACACAACACAGGGAGGCCTGGTGCAGCGCTGGAGGACAGTGCGCTGTTCAAACCGACCAGACACTCTTAGGAAACCCTACATACACAGGGTCCCTATGAGTCGGAACCGACTTGATGGCACTTCACAATGACACAGGAACCCTGGTAGCATAATGGGTTATGCACTGGGCTGGGTTCCATGAGAGAAAGATAAGGCTTTCTGCTCCTGTAAAGACTGACAGGTTCGGAAACTCTACACAGGATGACTATGAGTTAGAACTGCCTTGGGGGCAAGCTGTCACCACCACCCCTACCAGGATGAGGCAGTGATAACGTATAAAAGAGACTGCAGATTACCCCCCAGTCTATGAGGAGAGAGGAGAAAAACAATGATTTTCTAGGTGACAATACGATGACATATTGAAGCCCGTTTGCCAAGTCCTATTTAATGATCTGCTAGCTTCAAGGGTCATTAAGACAAACAAGAGACGCACTTCAGTTACTTGGAACCCCTGGGGAAATGAACAGCTTCACTATTAATCAATTTACAAAGGATAATACTTAAGCCGAGTTCTGAAACATCACTTAATCATGACTTTGTTTTTTCCTAGAAGATTATTATGTTTCCCTCCAAAACTCTTCTGTTATTTTCAGATTAAAGGGGATAAAATTGAGCCCTAGCACAGTGACTCAGACCTGCTGCTGTGGACAGTTTTACCAGATTTCAGGTAAATACAGGTAGGATGAATACAGGGTGGCACTGGACTCATCCTAGGCTGCTGCTTCTAGTTTGTTTTCAAAAGCCCCTGATGTCAACTTTTTAAAATAAGCTTAACTGCAAACCTAAAACCCCACCCAGTAGCTGACTCAGGGCCACCTCCTGTGTTAAGAGAACTGTTGTTAGTGGGTTTTCATGGCCTTTCAGATGCAGATGACCAGGCCTTCCTTCTGAGTTACCTATGGGTGAGTTCAAACCCAACGCCTTTCAGTTAGTAGCCAACTGCCTGCTTGTCTGCGCCACCCAGGGATTCCTATTAAAAACATGTAAGTGCCGTCGAGTTGATTCCGACACTATATTGCACTACGAGCACATTGTGGATAGGTGCCATCCAGTCGGTTCCGACTCATACTGACCTTGTATAGGGTTTCCGAGGATTGGCTGATGAGTTCAAACTGACCTTGCAGTCTAGCACTAATCCTACAGCGCCAGACCAGATCTCCTTCCAAGAAGCATAGGAAAATAAAACCACAGAAACTGAAAAATGGTAAGTTTGAAAACTGTACCTTCTCCTCCCGTTACTGCTAAGTGCAGACTTCCTGCCACGTTCTCTAAAGGAATTAAGAAAAGATTTTGTTCTGTCTAAAGGCCAGAGTTTTTTAAGAGGCAGATGTAGTGGTACCATAGAACACATGCCTTTTAAGCTTAAGGATACAACCTCACGAGGTAAGGTAACCTGTTTATACAGCTGTCCTACTCTACAGGCAAAGAACGCACTTCACTCAAGCTTTCTTCTAACGTTAGTGAAATCAAAAGGACACGGTGCCATTTCAAAGAGCGAGTCGTCACAATTCTTCCAGACAGCCTTGGTTTTCTTTTAGAGTGTTAACAGGTCTTACTTCATCTTTGTCTAAACAGCTCTGTCTAAACTATAGCTGCTATTACTATGACACAAAATATGTCCACTTAGAGTTGTATTTCCCGTACAACTATAATCAATAATAATAAAACAAGCAAACAAAGTTATTGCCTGGGGTTACATGCGAGATGACTTTCTCCTCCCTAGTTGTGTAAGTGTTTGTAACAATAGATGGCATGTCCCTGTTTTCTTTTAGTAGGATCTATAATTAGCTCGACTGGCTGGTCTCCAGTTCCCATTCATGTTTCAAAAAGCAGTGAAGATTAGCTGACAAATTCATTGATTAGTGCATAATTAATATGAAAAAAAAAATCCAGCGTGACAAAATTAGGGATGTGTCCATAACGGTTTTATTGGTAAGGGTCAGGATTTCAAGGGAGCTCAAAAGACAAGAGTCAGGTGCATTTTATGCTAATGTAAACCTGGATTGAGATTTATAGTAGTTAAATCAAAACACAAAAGGTTTCTCATGGTAAAGTCCTCAAAGTAAATTTTATTTACACAGTTTGTCAAATGACTGTGGAACTTTTTAAAAACCCATCCCCAGTGGACACTGGTGGGACCCTGGATGGAGTTTCAGAAGAAAACGAATACAAACACGGTGGTGCTTTGCCAACTCACTGCGCTAACACCAAGAAGCCAATTTATTCTAGAATCTTAGCAAATCTGAGATGCGGGTATGTTTGTGTTGGCCCTCGGAGAATTGTACAAATAAAGGAAACATTATAAAAGAAACTGTTTTCCAAAATTGTGCAGTCTTTGAAAAGAAAACAAAAAAAAAATCATCAGCCAAGCTTGTTGGTACAGTGTTTTTATGTCAAGAAAACCCATAATCCCCACCGATGGTCCAGCTCAAGAGGATCCTAACAACGCTTATAGAGCAGTCTCCGTGACAGTCTCATCTCCACTGAAAGCAGAGCTGGTAAGACTGTTCTGAGCATTCTGAAGAAACCTAATCCCCTCCTAAAACAAAACAAAGAAATGATTCGCAAGAGAAACGACACTGTACAACTCACTGGTTAACTTCAGATTTCTGAAGCGGTAAGGGGTGGGGGCCCAGACAAGTCACACTCGGAAAGGGCTGTGAGCCAAGTGCATGAGAGGAAGCCTGCTGAGCTAAACCAAGTAGACAGGGCAGAGTCACGAGTCACTCGCCAGAGCGGCAGCAGGCTCGAAAACCGCACTGCAAATTCTGGCATCCACTGGCAGTAGCAGCATGAGGACCTGCGTGAAAACAGAAAAATGTGAAAGGAGGAATTTCTTAGTGCTCACATAAAAATAACTGCTAATGCAAGAGTGAGGCAAAACAAATGTCTTTCTAACTAAAAATCTATGCAGATCATAAAAGTTCAACCTCGTCACATCGACTTTAAGAATGCTCAGACACAAAAATCTCCCATGGCAGCTTGCCTTGAACGCACACACCGTGTGTCATGGCTCAACAGGACACTGGAGGAAGAATAAGTAATCATTTGGGCAGCAATTCTGGCAATTTTATCAAAGGAAACAAGCAATCACAACAACGAACAGCTAAGGTGCTTTAACCCACACACGTAAGCAAGACCACCAGACTAGCTGAACTACATATTTGTTATAATCTCAGCATCCTTATGAGAAATATCATTACAGCACAAACAACTCCATAGTAATAGTACCAGCACCAGATTGACTAAAGAATGCAGTAAACCATTACAGTATAAATGAGTCCATCCCAAATTACCTATAAAGGCATAGATTCAGCATGTTTGCAGTATGTCTGCTTAGCGCTTGTAGCCAAAATAAATGACATGTTACAGTTAATGGGAAATTACTATTCCAAATTAAGTACATAATGAGTGATTCATCAAAGAAATACATCTGAGATATAATAAAAATCGTAACCCACTTACAAAGACGTATAATAAAACGTGTGTGAAATACCAGACATGAGATAAAAGGGCTAATAGAGAACAAAGTAGAGAATTAGAAAGTATCAAAAGAGGCTTCATGGTTCACACACAAATATTAAGGAATTTGACAGAATGGTAGGGTGCAAACCGGCAGGCAAATGTAGAATAGGTTGCTGACTCTACTGAACTTCTCACTATTATATCTGCATCACGAACAAATAAACAACAATTAATTAGTTCTTACGTCTCGATTCTAATTGCAATGAAAGTACATGCCACATATAAGGGATGAAACCAAATTCATACAATAAAGCACATCAATTCTAATTTTACTGTAGAATATACTATAGGGAGTATAATTGAAAAAAAAATGACATATATATAGATATGTATCTCACAGTTGTTGTTAAGTCCAGACTAATATCAAGTTCTGAATTTGGGAATATATTTTAAGTCTATGATTTTGAATTTAAGTAATTAACTACAAAAGAAGACATTGAATGACGCTAATACTGAAATTCGGGGGGGGAGGAGAGTTGCCACTGACCACAGAGAACAAACACACTTATTTGCAAGAATTTAACTTGTCCTTCCATGCCCAATCCAATATATACAAAACACAAGGGCACATTCCTTAAAGCAATGGATGACATGCGATGGTCATAAATGTGCCACTGTGGGGTTATCACTCCACAGTGTATCTCAACAGTGAGAACAACTCACTGATCTATGGAAGTGCAATAGTGTACAATCTTATTTTTTGTCGTATTTAAAGACAGAATGATGTTTACAATTAGTTCAACTTAATGGGGAGCATATGTGGAAAGGGGCACTGGCATCGATGAAACAGAGGCCGACTAAGCACTCAGCTAACAGAAAGGTCCCCAGTTCAAACCCACCAGTGGCTCTGAAGACAATGCTGTAGCTGTCTGCCTGGGTGAAGACCCTTCGGTCCTACGTGGGTTCCCATGAGGTGGAATCTACTCCATGGCAACGGGTTTGGCAACTTGGGATTTTTTAAGCGATAAAATAAGACTGGCCACAGGTGTGTAACTACTGAAGCTGATGAGACGGTCTACTGTTGCTGTAAAGTGAGGTTGAGTTGGTTTCACCTCATAGCGACCCTCTACAGGATTCATTTTATTCCAGACTGATGTTTTAAAAATTTCCATAATGAAATATTTAAAATCACTTAACCAATAACTATAATATTAACCTTCCCATGACAACAATCACATCGTGAGGTCAAAGACAGAGCAGGTTTCTGATCCAAGTAACCCACGAATGGGAAGCATCCATCCAGGGATTTTATTCGGCTGAGGGTCGGGGACAAAGCAGCAGTGAAGACAGCCACTGTGGTTAGGTTAAAGTAGTCTCCGATTGTAGAAAGCAAGGGAGACTACCGAGTTCCAAAGTCAGCCACTGTAAGCAAACGTAACACTGTGGTTGTCGTCAAGTGCCATCAGGTCGGTACAGACTCATAGCGACCCTATGCACAACAGAACAAAACACTGCCTGGTCCCGGGCCCACCCACCTCACAATGGTTGGTATGTTTGAGTCCATTGTTGCTGCCACCATGCCATTCCACCTTGTTGGGGGTCTTCCTCTTTATCACTGACCCTCTACTTCCCTAAGCATGCGTCCTTTTCCAGAAACAGGTCCCTCTTGACAACATGTTCAAAGTATAAGAGATAAAGTCTGACCACCCTTGCTTCCAAGGAGCATTTCGGCATTACCTGTACCATGACAGGTATGTTTGTTCTGGCAGACCATGGTACTTTCAATATTCTTTGCCAACACTACAACTCAAAGACATCAGCTCGTCTTCAGTCTTCATTATCATCCAGCTTTCAGGTACAGATGAAAATACCAGGACTTAGGACAGGTGCACCTCAGTTCTCAAAGGAACATCTCTTTAACACTTTAAAGAGGTATTCAGAAGGTCTGTCCAATCCAATCCATCATTTGAGTTCTTGGATTCTGCTTCCACGAGTACTGACTGTAGGTCGAAGTAGAATGAAATCCTTGACAACTTCTATCTCTTCTCTGTTTATCATGATGCTGTTTACTGGTCTAGTGAAGATTTTTGTTTTCTTTACAATGAGTTGTAATCCATACTGAAGGCTGTAGTCTTTGATCTTCATCAACAAGCTGTCTAAAGTTCTCTCTGCTATCAGTAAGCAAGCTTGTGTCACATGTGTATCAAACCTGTATATTAAGGAGTCTTCCTCCAATCCTAATGGCATATTCTTTTTCATATAATCCAGCTTCTTGGATTAGGTGCTCAAAATACAGATTGGATATGAGTTCTGGTGTGGTGCTATAGACTGCTAACCAGAGGCTGGCTGCTCAAACCCACCAGTCATTTCTTAGAAACCTTCTACAGAAGCAAATCAAAGGAGCTTAGCAACACCAACAGATTGAATATGTATGGTCAAACGATACAGCCTGGGCACAGAGCTTTCCTGATTCTGAGCCATGTGGTATCCCTGAATTTTGTTGGAAAGTCTGCCTCTTGGTCTCCGCGCAGATTCAACAGATGTTAATGATCTAAACATGACTCATCACTAGCAAATTTCTATCTCAATATAGGTTACAGAACCCAAATGGTTGTACTACATGAGGGAGTCCTGGGGTGCTGCACTGGGTTAGTGCATCAGACTGAAAAACCATTTGAACTGCAAGGTCAGTGGTTCAAACTCACCAGCTGCTCCTCGGAAACCCTATACTACAGGGTTGCTATGGGTCGGAATCGACTCAGCAGCCCTTAACAACAAAGATTACATTTAGAGAATAATGACAGAAAAGTAAAATTACACTATCATTAAATAAATTTTTTAAATGCTCTGTAAAGGATACATTTTTGCAAGTACAGCATTTTTAAAGTATTAGAGTAACGAGCGATACAGTTAGCTAGGTTTATTTCCCCAAATTGTTATGACTGCATGATCTTGTCCCTGGCCTTTAATAACTGACGCTGTGTAAATGCACTTACCTTCACTTACCTTGGCTCCTCCTTACTTAGAGACATGCAGATGTCTCAGGCTGCGTCACCTGCAGGACTCTGGCCTAGTCTAGCCTAACTGGTACAGCATACATGCATTGAAATACAAATCAGTATGATAACGGTGATTTGCTACCTTTGCTGGAACGTTCTTCAGAACTCTAAAATGATGCAAATCTACTGAACGCTCTATAAACAGCAAAGAATTTTTCAAACTATGGCTAAGCAGTTTTAATTTCATATTCAAGACTAAGTTTATCAATCAAATAAATTTAAATGCCAGGAAGAATCATTCAGATGCATCAAGAACTGCATTTTCTATCACTGTCTTGAGTGCAGTAGTTAGTTACCTGCTAAATATCTGATGATAAACTTTTCTTCCCCATAATCCCCTGCTGCTGCTGAGGGCATGTGAGCATCGCGGTCATGGACAATGGCTTTCAGCACTGGCTTCTCTCCGTTTAGGGACCTGGCAGTTAACTCTATGACTCTCTTTGGACCACATGCATTTTATGTAAATTGTCAAAATTTTTAAATGGCACTTGCCACTTAAATATGCTTCCTCATTGGCCAAGACCATGTAGAAAACATGTGAACTACTTTCAAAATAATAAAACTAACAATAAACAGGGGACTCCTAAGTGTTTACTCAACACCTATTCTACAAGTTGACTTGTTTTGAAGGATACTAAATAAGTAGTACCATCTTGCATTTGGCTATGATGAAAATTCTAGCACTTTCGAGGCTGCTCACACGTCCTCTTATGGAAAAGATCGTACCAGAGGATAATTCTAAAGGCAACTGGGGCCCATGTAAAGACAACAAATCACTCTCTAAACTCTAACAAGCTATCTAAGGTGACTGTACTGGATTATACATGCACTACCAATTCCCTTCAAATCTTTCCAAACCAGAAAAAGCCTCTTTAAAAGTCATCGATTGAAAGTTACCAGTTATCAAAACACACACACAACCACATCTCCAACAAAAGGGATGCAGCAGCTCCTTTGGAACACTTTAATATTTATATATTCAAAGCCAGACAAGAGAGAACGAACTCTAACATGCCAACAAAGTGTAAAAGAGTTTTAGTACATGACTTTATCCTAATCTCTTATTTCAAGACACACTCATTTAACACACACACACACACAGAAATCAGTAGCTCATGAAAGTGAACTTAATCCCCCTGTCACCCAACAGCATCTATATTCCTGAAAATAACCTTTCAACAAGTTGTTGTTGTTAAATGCCATTGAGATGGCTTTGACTCATAACGACCCTGGTCTAGGGTTTCCAAAGAGTGGCTGGTGGGTTTGAACTGCCAATTCTGTGGTAAGCAGCTCAGTGCTTATCCTATAGTGCCACATGAAGACAAGTAGGTGGTACTATTTATCTCCACAAACACAGGGTTACAATTAGGTTGAGGCAGACACATAATTCTCACATCAAACATACAAACAAGAAGCTTCTCTTTTAAGACACATTAATGCTTACTGGTTACTTTTCATAACATGTTCTACGCTGTTGTTACCAGGTGTTGCCGATATGTTCTATAAGCCTTAGATAGGACATCCATTGAGCCAACAACGACCTAACTTTACGTTAAAAATCAAAGGTCTCTCTTGTCAAACTCATGGCGTCCACAAGAATCATCACACTTTGTTTCTCACAAACACTGCTACCCCAAGGACCCGGGAGGTCATCTCCTGTATCCCTGAAGCAACTCCAGAAACCAGGGTGCCGCTATCTTCCAGCTTTTCACATATATTGTAAGGGGAACCGAACACTGGAAAATCAGTGCATTGCTGACCTCCCTGCCTCCTGGTGTGTCATTAAAGCAGAGATCAACCTGTCACCCTGGCTCCTGTCCCATGCTCCGAGAGGAACTCAGAGGGCTCTTCCTGTCACCTTACAGGATGCAGGCTCTCCTAACAGTACAAACAGGTGCAGAGTAGAGTCTGAGCCACCAAAAACGCTTCCCTGTTATAAATGCAGAAGGGGATGTGCTTATTAATAATTGAGAGGCAGGCAGCTTTATATGTCTCTGAGATCTCCAGTCTCTACCATTAACTTTGAAATGAACATACTATGAAAAATCCCACTCACTAGGTCCACTGTAGGGTTGCTGTTCTTGTTAAGTGACGCTGAGTCAGTTCCAACTCAGAGAGACCCTGTACAAATTTTCCAAGGAGCAGCTGGTGGGTTTGAACTGCCGACCTTGTGGTTGTAGTCCAGTGCTGATCCTATAGCGCTACACCAGAAGTCTCATTGTCGGCTAGAACAAGGATTTTTTTTTGTTTTAAAGGCAGAAAGAAATCAAGAAGTACCCGTTTGGTAATGTTTTTAGAGCAGGTTCAGGAATCAATCTCCAGAAAGACACTAGGAAATTCTGTCTCCCCGCCTCTCCTGAACCTCACGGTCTCCAGGTGCCTCGGTCTTCCGTGAGGCCCACAGCCAGATCCACAGTCGCGGAGAGTCCGTTTCTGGCTGCACTTCACAGAGCCGCTCTAGAAGGAACCAGCCCATCAGTCCTCAAAAGGTGGGGATCAGGACACTGGGGAATCGGGAAGCCCAATGTCAAAACTACTCTAGGGAAGGTCAACATGACTTTCTAAGAATTTGAGTCTAGAACTGGCCATTTCTAAAGAATTAAGCTACTGCCTACCTCAAAACTGGCAGAATCAGTATCTGAAGTATCTATCTGCAAGAAAACTTACCTTCAGAGATGCTAATGAATGAAAATGCGATTTTTCAATGTTATCAAGTTTAAAGGATTACATCTGGAATGAAGGCAGTGTAATTAGAAACCTCGAAAATGAACTCGAACCCCTGAGAATGAGGAGAACGGTTGAGGAGTTTCAGGTCCATTCCGTCCAACTGGCCTCACGGTAGGCAGGCATTACCGTTAATGTTGTCGCAGTAGTAGAAGTATTCATCGTTCAGAGAAGGGCACACGGAGACCAGGTCCTGCAGGCCCGCGCCTGTCACCGTCAGACACCCAGAGAGGTTCAGGTGCTCCAAGTAAGGCAGTCCCCCTCCCAGAGCCAAAACCCTAGAAGGAGAAGCAAGGAGAACCCATTAGTCCAGGGAAGCGTCAGTGTTCCTAGGGCCACCGCTTTCTGTACCTCTCAGTTAGCAACGAGAGAGCCTTTAAGAGTTTCTACAAAATATTAAGGGACTTCAACAAGTTCATGGAATTAAAAAGCAAAGGTATGTTTTCACGCATTTTTTGAAGACCCCTTGTATAAAAGCTAATTTCATTTACCTCAGAAAAACATTCTCCATTTTTCCTAATGACCTTCAAGAAAACCAGTCTATGAAACTTGTCTTTATAAGAACAGTGCTGCTGCTAGGTGCCATTGAGTCAGTTCGGACTCATAGTGACCCTGCACAGGGTTTCCGAGGATCTGAAGCCCCGACCCTGCGGTTAGCAGCCCAGTGCTCACATCCTATAGAACCACCCCAAGACTCTGACGGTCTCTCAATTCATAGAGGAAGGCAGTAGTACTGAATCCTGGCATTGTAATGTTCCTACTCCTAGCACACTGTCCAAGTACAAACTATCATGAAAATTACTGAGATTACAAATCTAATTACTAGTCTGACAGTTCCTAAAAAGATTTAAACATAGCATCACCACATGACCAAGCAACTCCACTCCAAGTTTTACTCAATACAAAGGGGTTTCAAAAAGTGTGTGGAAAAAACGCGAGACAACGTTAAGGAAAATTTCCCACAAACTATTTAAAGCCCCCTCATAAAACTGAAAACATGTTTTTTAAAGAAAGACATGAATATAAATGTTCACAACAGCATTGTTCATAATAGCCAAAAAGGAAAACCAATCCTTATGTCATGACCAAAGGATACACAAACGAGGGTACAGCCATACAATGGAATATTTTACAACATTAAAAAGCACACAGTACTGACAGATTATATGCTCTATGTACTCTGGAGTCCTGGTATGGCGCTGTGGGTTAATGCGCTGCATTGCAAAGTCACTTTGAACCACAAGGACAGTGGTTCAAGCTCACCAGTCGCTCCTCGGAAACCACATACAGGGTCGTTACAGGTCGGAACCGACTCGATGGCACTTAACAACAACATATACACTGTATATATGTATACTATATATATATATATATATACTGTAACATGAAGAATCTTTAACACATTAAGCTACATTTTTTAAAAAAAGCAATGTCAGTCACCTTCCACTGATACAAACTGCTCACAGTAAATATACATCTATAAAGACAAAAAGTAGACTGTTGTTGGGGGCTGGAGGAAGGGATGCCTGGGAGTGACTTTGCTACTGGGTAAGGAATTTCTTCTTTAGAGAGAATATATTTCTGAATTAGACAGTGGTGATGGTTAGAAAGCCTTGTTGTTGTTGTTAAGTGCCGTCGAGTAGGTTCCGACCCATAGCGACCCTGTACAGGGTTTCCGAGGGTGTAAATCTTTAGGGGAGTAGAAAGCCTCATCTTTCTCCCGCGGAGCAGCTGGTAGTTTCAAACCGCTGACCTTAAGGTTCGCAGCCCGATTCGTAACCACTATGCTACCAGAGCCTTGTAAACAAACTAAAAACCAGTGACTGTTACAATTTAAGAGTGAATTTCATGGAATGGTAATTTATTTCAATAAAAGTAACACCCAATAGCACAGCCCTGAAGAATAAAACCATCAATACATGAATGAAAAATTTGCTATAATGCAAACTGCAATGCTTAAACAAAAAAATCAAGAACAAAACTAAGAGGATCAATTTCCTGTATAATGATTAAATCAACATTACGAAGAGCAAGAAATGGGAAAACTGATAATAGTCATCTTGAAAGGAATATTAAAAAGCTAACATTACAATAAAGTAAGTAAAAAATGGATACGATTCTGTAGGAATAGTGTAGAAACTCAGAAACACAAGGGTAAGTCAAAAAGCATTGCTACAAGCCGGTCCATTCCAATTCACAGTGACCGTAGAGCTTCTGGGACAGCAAATCTTCACGGGGGCAGACTCATCTTTCCCAATTAGAGAGGTTGCTGGGTTTGCAGGCCAACACTTTACCCACTACCAGCTAGAAGTGTGCCATCGAGTCAGTTCCAACTCACAGCGACCCTGTGAGTCTTTACAGGAGCAGAACCCCTTGCCTTTCTCCTGTGAAGCACCTGGTAGATTAGAACTCCTGACCTTGTGTTTAGTAGCTCAGCTCATAATCCACTACCTACCAGGGTCTCCTGCAAAATCAGACATCTTCATTAAACAAAAATATCAGTATGTTTCTCAACATAGCCTCCATCTAGATCTACACATTTCAGAAGGCGGTATATCTATCTCTCTAACCCTTCCTGGGGTGGTGCTGTGGGTTAATATGACAGACTGCAAATCTGTTTGAACTGCAAGGTCGACAGTTCAAGCTCACCAGCTGCTCCTCGGAAACCCTATACAGGGTCCCTAAGGGTCGGAATCGACTCGATGGCACACAACAACAACAACAATCCTTCCCTGAAGAATTCTGTGCTCTTCAATTTACACCATGTCAAAATGCCATTTTGGCATGCTTAGAGAGCTCAAATGTGTTCCTTTTAAACGTTCTGAGTTTGGGGGACGTAAAGAGGTGTGACAGGGAAAGATAAGGGCAGTAGGTGCTAAAGGGTGGAGGGGGTGATGATTCCCAATGAAATTATTGTAGAACAACCCATGCTACTGTCAAATAATGAGCAGGTGCATTGTCGTGAAGGAAAAAAAATGCCTTGGTGCAACTTTCCTGGTGCTTTTCTCACCATGTAGGTTTCACTTTTCTTAAAATTATTTCTAAGTCCTCATGATTGTCCCTGTCCTTCAAAAAATCTATCAAGTTATTAGTTCTGGCACTTCCCTGAGCAGGCAGCTCAGGTAGGGCAGTCTCGGGGAAAAGGGGTGGAATCGCCCATAAGAAAACTCTGTCTAGCAGACAGACAGCCTTTGAACAAACATAAGAACTTATATTTCAACATTCTGAACTCGTTTTATTATAAGAACAAATTGGTGAGGAATTACAGGCATTTTAAGCTTTTGCCTGCCTGCACGTGGTTCCCGCTTCTGCGCCCACGCCGGCAAGTGCCTCTGCCCCCTGCAGACCTTGGGATGCAGGGTTAGAGCAACCCCACTTAGAAGGCTGCATTTCCAGAGAAAAGGAAGCATAAACTAACAAAGC